TTCCCCAGCCAGCCATGTTGAAGTCCACACATCTTCAAGTCGCCAAGGTTGAGGAACCCTGCTTTAGAACACAATCCTCTGTGAGGGGAAATGGGAGGGGAAGGTGATGGGAGTTGGATTGCCTCCCCTTACGCCTGATGTACGTAAGGGTGTTATAAGCTGTCTACCAGCAGGACTCCTAGATATCCATGGACACATTCTTCCTTGCTGCTCCATGTTTCCCTGCAGCAAGCCAGCCCCACAATCAGATCAAGGGAGCGTGCCCTGGATCTGCGTGTTCTTTGTTCAGAATATGTCACTGCTGAGGCAGCAGCAGGACAGAGGGCTTCCCCAGAGTCCTATTGCTTTCCTTTTTCTCCCACGCAGGGGAAATGCTGAATCATAGTCAACCAAGTCCCTTCATCCTCTGGTTTTTGCCCGGTGGGGGTGGGAGCTCATATAGGAAGAGCCAGCTACTCAGAGGGACTGAGCACCAATAACTGACTTCTGGCAGCCAGACTGTCTCTCTCTGGATCCAAGAACACCCACGCAGTGCACAGCTCAAGTCTCCTCAATCAGGTCTCCTTGTTTCCACAAGGTTCTCTGGTGCTCCTTCTGCATAGACTCATCTGGAGTTGCTCTCATGCTTCGTTCCAGATTACTCCTGAGGGGTGGATGGGGAGGATCTTTTTTTTCCACTCTTAGCTTTAAAAAAACAACAGGGAGGCAATTTGCAGCCAAAAAGAAGGCAATCAAAACAACAGTTTGCTTAGAATATTTACCCTACAGCAATATTTTATCCACCTGATACAGTGTTTTGTGCAATGTGGACTACTGCATTTTATATATGTATCTTCAAAAAGTTCAAAAAGAAGTTTTTATGTTGTTCCTAAAAAGGAATTAAGAGAAGGCTGCTTGGATTGGGGGAGCTATTTAAGAAAAGGATTGCACAGTTCTAGGGAAGTGAAATAGAACTAACTTTTTGTTAGTTTGCAAGTAAGCATTGTGTACATATGTATATCATTAATTTAAGATACTAATGCCCTGTATTTATTTTGTTTTGTTTTTGAACCACGCCTCCAAGGAAGCTAGCAAACTCAGTTATAAAAATTAATACATAAAATAATCCCATATAGTTCCTATACAGTAATATTATCTGGAGTTGCTCTCTGCATCATGAAAGCAGGTATGCTAATGGGTTCATTTCTTTGGAGCTCAGCTCTGTCTCACTCAATGGCAGAGTCTTATTAGATTGCCTAAATTCAGGAATTCCTCCCTTACCAACTGTATGGCTTACCAGATAGTCATGGTGTGTGTGGGGAGGGGGGCTTTGTTAAAAGAGGTCTGCCTTCAGTGTCAGCTATTGGGATGGGATTTTGGCAACTGCTGGAGCTGAGGTATCCTTGCATGTTGTATATATGGGGGGAGGAGGGGGGCATTTGTTATGGTTCTTGGATTTTTCCATGGCTCCTAGAAGATACCCAGCATAGCTTGGATGGGAAGAATTGCAGTAGTGGGCCAGCTGTCTTTCAGGAAATTGGGCCATTACCATTATTGATTTTCTAGAATGAGAATCCTAGTATGCTTCCCAGGAATCTTGGATCCCTTCCAAAATCAGGTCAGAAGCCATTACCCTGATATTTTTCTGGGGCCCACCACCATCAATCTCTTTATTCTCTAGGAGTGGAGCAGGTCAGTATCCGCCTGGACTTAGAGGCTGAATTCCACTTCACACACTTAATCATGACTTTCAAGGTATGTTCCATTTGACAATAGATGGCTTCTTCTCCAGTAGAGGGTTCCAGAATGCCTTCTTCATTGAGAAGCATGAATGAATTTCTGTTTGGGGAGCCTTTGTTGCCTTATGCAGTTCTTCACAGGGAGGATCTATAGGTAAATCACAGAATGGATGCACCTGTCCATGCAGAATTTCGTGTCTGCAGCATGTAAGGCAACACCTTTGTATGCAGTTTCCTATAAGACAAAAATTCCATTCTGTACAACAAGCCATTGTCTACAAATGATTCTTTAATGAGTTTCTACCTATGAAACATAGGAAAAAGTCTTATAAAACTATTTTGTAAAAGACCAAATTAAATCTGTTACATCTATTGTGTTAGCATATATAGTTAGCACTTGATTTGATAGATTATTGAGGGGAAGATGTGTCCACTAAAGATGATTGTCTGTTAAATTCCCTTCTCTTCCCTCCCCTCCCTCCTCTCAGGGAACCCCCGCTTCCAGCATCCCAGCTCAGTATAGCTCTGTTCATTATATTTTGTCCATTAAATATGAGATCCATAAATCTCAAGGGTTGACCATACCCTTAATAGCGTACCGCAACCTAGAAATCTAGGGTCATGTAGAGATGACCTTGGAGAAAATCTGTGGCAACCATTAGTAAAACGTAGCCCAGGCAAACAGAAAGTGTGAGAAAGAAACACAAGATTGCCCTATCTTGATTCTCTTTGGTATAGGGAGGGAAGGGGAAATGTTATCAGGCTTTCAAGAGATTCTATTATTATAGCCTGTATCAATAAAGTAAAGCTCTAGAATTTTTTGTGATACCTGTTTCTTGACCTGACCTATCTTGAAGGGCTGATAAGCCTTTACCTAAAATATATGAGCGTAGAGCCCAGTTCACCCATGTTTATTTATTCCTTTACCATTGTCACAACTCATTATTTTATTTATTTATGAAATTTATACACTACCTCAATCCAACTGAACTCTAGGCAAGTTATAACCTAGACAATTGATAATGACGACGATTATGGTTATGATGCTACTACTACTGCTACTACTAATAATAATATAGTATTTCAAATACAAATAAGATAGAATTATAATAACAACTAAAAGCTGAACAAAATGAAAACACTTCAAAGGATGGCCCGCACACAGAGTGATTCTTGTAGATCTCCAGCCCAATTTGGACTGACTTGTTGGGTGACTGTTCTGGGCACAATTGTTTCTACCCCCGCAGACCTTCCGACCTGCAGCCATGCTGGTGGAACGCTCAGCAGACTTTGGCCGCACCTGGCAGGTGTACCGCTACTTTGCCTATGACTGTGCAGCATCCTTCCCCACTGCATCCCGTGGACCCTTGAGACGAGTGGATGATGTTATCTGTGAGTCACGATACTCAGAAATTGAACCTTCTACAGAAGGGGAGGTGAGTGTGATCCCTAGCTTCAGGACTGCAAAGTTGAGTACTCAGAGCTATTGCACTCAATCAGGGCTCCTTGTCTTCTCCATGTTATGTCTTTCTTCTTTGCTTTAGGTCATCTACAGAGTGCTGGATCCAGCTATTCAAATCCATGACCCCTACAGTCCAAAAATTCAGAGTGAGTTTTTTTATGGACTCTGGGCTGAAGAGAGTAGAGCATTGGTTTGAGATGCAAAAAGGATAGCCACTCAATGTATCCCACCTCCCTTTGAGAGTTTTGGAGCTGGACCATGTCCCAAATATTGCAAACTCTTTTCTGTTCCAGATTTATTTCAGGAAAAACCCAAACAGCTAGGTTAGCATGTTCTGGGGAAAAAATGGAATGTTCCAGGGAACATTGGAGCGTTCAAGGAATGGACCACACCATTTTGCATGCAACTTTCGCTATTTTGGTGCCATCCAGATGTGTTGAGGTTACAACTTCCCCTGTTGTGGGGAGATGGGCGGGGACAAGTCTATTAAATAAATAAATAAATAAACAAACTTCTAAAATTCTCAGCCGGCATGGCAGTTGTGATGAGAATATATTTGAAAGTCACCTGTTTGGGGAAGGCCATTCTCAGTTTTTAAATGTCGGCATGTTGATCACATATCCAGAATGCTCTGCTGGAGTATTTTAAGCAGAAACTGCATAGCCATTTATCATGGGCCCTTAAGGGATTTCTTGCATTGGCAGAGAAAGGATTATGAAATGACTTTTCCGACTTTTCCAGTCCTTTTCCAATGCTGTGATTCTTCTGAAAAATATATATATCCCACTAGACCCAAGATACTGAGTAAACATGCTGTCACCACAAGAATCTCTTCCCAAAGAGAATATATCCTAGACCAGTGTATGTAGTGCGCACACACACAGATGTACACATATATGCACATACAGACAGACAGAGAGGGAGGTAGAGATTTATTTAGCTAACTAGGTAGTTCACTGTGACCCCAGGGCAATCTGCAGCTGCCCTTGTCTTCTGTCCTATTTCAGGCTGGTTAATTTTGGCCCTTGATGTATTTTTGCTGCAGCAATTACTCTGTTGGCTCTGAGGATCTGTCTGGGAATTCACGATCCCTTGCCTTCTCTCCTCCCTAGTATGATGCACATTTTTCTGATTCTAGCTGAGACTTTGCAGAAGCCAGACAGTCCAAAATGTCTCACCACAATCTTATGATCTTCCTGCATCTCATGATTTCAATGCCCAGATCTCCTGAAAGTCACCAACCTGAGGATGAACTTGACTAAATTGCACACTCTGGGAGATAACCTCTTGGATTCACGCCGGGAAATCAAGGAGAAGTACTACTATGCGGTGTATGAGATGGTGCTGCGCGGCAACTGCTTCTGCTACGGGCATGCCTCGGAATGTGCCCCTCTCGCTGGCAGACCTGCTGCTGTTGAAGGCATGGTAAGGCTTCCTGATACAAGCCTGCAGGCACAGATAACACCGTGCTCCCCTGGCCCCCGTCATCAGATGTGCCCATCCTTACAAATCTGGATTTGCCTTAAAGAGCTACATGTGAGGGAAATATTCAACAAATTCTTCTGTTAATGCAAAACTAGAAGCTGTTCTTGCTGAAAAAGCTGTGGTGCTGCTACGCCCCACAAAGGCACTGATCGGATTTAGAACCACTTAGTTTGGGCAAGATGTTTTCCAGCCAGCTGGATCTCTTGATCTCTCTCTTCAAGAACTATACATTGATGCGTCTACGTTAGAGTGGGCAACATGTAGCCCCAGGGCACATGTGGTTCCCCATCTACCATTTTTCCTCTGAGAAAAGGCCTCCATTCCCATATCATGCTATCAATAATATGATATTTTATGGTCCTTTTAAACCCCCCCCCCCAAAAAAAACCCTCCACAAAAGTGTGAAGTTTCTGCAGGGCTTACTGTAGCTATCTCACTTCAAATCCCATTCCACCTCCCCAAATGAAAACACTTTCCAAAATGTCATCCCCTCCCCTTTGGGCTGCCACCAGTACAAATGCTGTTCCCTCTGGAGGCCAGTGAAAACAATTCTTTTAAAAGTAAAATATAGCCCCCGGTAGAGAAGCATTGCCTGCCCCAGTCTGCATACTGCTGAATCAGTAGAGGTTGCAGTTCATGCACACTTTCTGGACTTCTGTGGTGGAAGAAAGGCAAGAGATAAATAAACTAAGGCTGGAAAAAAACCCATTCAGATTTGGCTTTTCCTTCCAGACCAGAGGACTGTGCTCTTTTGTCTTATGAGGTTTTCCATGTCACCCTAAGGGCCAGCTTCATATTCTTTTAAAAGCCTTTTCACAGGATGCCACAATCTGTGCCAGAAACGAAATGCCCCATTTTTGCATGGGGCTGTCCCAAACCTACCGAATAGATACCTACAATGTGACCCTTGTCTGTGCTTGTGGAGGGTCTGTCTGTTGAGGTTTGCATTGCCCCCTTTGTTTGTCTGCCAACAGGTACATGGTCGCTGTGTCTGCAAGCACAACACCAAAGGGCTGAACTGTGAGCTGTGCAGTGACTTTTACCATGAGCTGCCCTGGCGCCCAGCTGAGGGACGCCGCACAAATGCCTGCAAGAGTGAGTGTGTGTGAAAACAGTGGTGCCTCTAAAGACAACTTTGGGAAGACTCTGAGGCCAGAAATAGCTGTGCCCTCCCAAAACTTTTATGTAGAGGAGCCCTAGTGGAGGGGGTGTTGTCAGTAAAGGGACATACTCTACCATTTCTCATTATAAGACATTTACCAGGGTAGAAGGCTAAGGGATCTCGTAGCCCGAGGCCCTCCACCTGAGGGGTCTAGTAGCCCGAGGCCCTCCGCCTGAGGGGTCTAGTAGCCCGAGGCCCTCCGCCTGAGGGGTCTAGTAGCCCGAGGCCCTCTGCCTGAGGGGTCTAGTAGCTCGAGGCCCTCCGCCTGAGGGGACTAGTAGCTCGAGGCCCTCCAGAGGTTACTGGACAGTCACTCCCAGCAAACACTGTGAGCATGGCCTATAGTGAGGAATGCTGGGAGTCAAAGTTTAGCAGCATCTGGAAGACCACAGGTTTCTTCCCTATGGGCTTTGAAATGAGCACATATTAACGAGGGGGCAGCAGAACAGAAGCAACTTGTCAATTATTCAACATAGTGTTTTATACGCACAGAAAGACTTAAGTACA